GAGACAATGGGACCACTCTCAATGGAATTTTAGCTTCCACCTACTTGAAGCCTTCAACAGTATTGAAAAATGTAAATTGTTTCTTAAGAATTTCTTCTTAATTCCTTTTCCAAATGTATGTATACTGGAAAGTACACAATGCAGGCTCAAAGGAAATGAACAACAATTTTTCAGTCTCCTCAGACCAAAGATCAATCATAAGGGTTCAGCTATTTCTTTTCATACTGTTGCTAAGGAGGTGTTTGGAGATACCCATAAGAATTTCAGTTGTAAAGAAGACAAGTTTATGAAAACCACAGAAAGATTTAAGCAGCTGGGCCAGCTAAACTCTGTTCTCGCATTTAAGAACAATTTCAACAGTATTTTATTGTTGATTTCTGTAGAAAGATCTTGAGGAAAGAGCTTTTTTTATTATTTTCACACATACAGCCTTGTAGTAAGTTGAAAAGCAACCTTTAAAAGTATTATTTGTTACATATTGATTGTCTGATTTTGAAAGTGTCAGTGTTTTCCATGTCAGTGTTTTCCTCAGTGGAAATGGGTAACCTCTCAAAAGGCATGATGTCTGTGGATTGGTCATAGGCAGTTTTCAGTTACTTAGAATTGAAGTTTCTAATGTTTTTTCCCTTTGAAAAATAGCATAACATGACTGACTTCTAATGAGGGCTGACATTCAGGGTGCTAAGGAGGACATTTAGCTGCTTTCATCTAAAAAAATCTCTCAGACCTTTCAACTCTTTCTGCTTCAGGCTTTAGAGACTTTAAATCTACAGTGCTGGTCAAGCTGCCTCTTCAGTTTTTGAGTAATAAGAGTAACACTTTTGCAAATGACCACTTGAAATTTGTAGTGCCACCTGTAGTTCCATCAAAGATCTCTGACAAAATTTTGTTATACTGGTGTATTTTCAGATATTGTATTTACTTCATGTTGAGATGTTTGTTGGTTCTTTGTCTCTGCCTTAGCAAGCTGCACTGCATCCATTTTGGCTCCTGGGATGCCAACAAGGAGTGGACTGTGGATATGCCAAAGGATGAAGACATTGAGGCCATCTGCCTGGGTCAGGGCTGGGCTGCCTGTGCCACCAGTGCCCTCCTGGTCCGTGTGTTCACAGTTGGAGGAGTCCAGAAGGAGATCTTCACTCTCCCAGGCCCAGTGGTGTCCATGGCAGGACATGGAGAGCAGCTGATGCTTGTTTATCACAGAGGTAATTTCTCCCTTTTGTGTTTTTTTTGAACTGGGATTGTTTTCAATCCTCAGCTCTCACAGCTTCACACACTGGTTCATTTGTTTGTAATCACCAGAGTGTTTTCTTCTTCTTTTCTTCATGGTGTTTGTCCTTTTCCTCTTCTTTTGTCCTTTTACAAGCACACCCGTCACAACCCACAGACCTGTGACTTCTGACAGCAGAGCCTGTGTTTGATATTGGGATGCTGAGATTAAACTGTGGGGAAGGGGAGAATTTTGCAACAATGAAATTAATAAATTAAATTTGGGTTTCAGATGTGCCAGAAGGAATTACTACAGGAAATTAAGGAAGTTGTTGTTATGCACATCTTGTGTGTCCAAAATATCAAATACTTGTGTGTCTGACAGTGATATCCACGGGTAATGCTGCATTAGAATTAATTTTTGATTCAAAACTAATTTGGCCAATTCTTCTGTTTTCTAACACAATCATGCAACAACTTCTTCCTAGGTACTGGGTTTGATGGGGACCAGTGCCTTGGGGTACAGCTGATGGAGCTAGGAATGAAGAAAAGACAGATTTTGCATGGAGACCCCCTTTCCCTGACAAGGAAATCCTATTTGGTGTGGGTTGGATTCTCTGCAGAAGGTATGAACACCTGCATGAGAGAAATACTGACACTGCTGGGGGGATTGCAGGGAAGCTGCAGAGGGACTTTGGACAAGACAAGGAGGAATGGCTTCAAACTGCCAGAGGGCAGGGTTAGATGGGATATTGGGAAGGAATTGTTCCCTGTGAGGGTGGGAGGCCCTGGCACAGCTGTGGCTGCCCCTGGATCCCTGGCAGTGCCCAAGGCCAGGCTGGAGCACCCTGGGACAGTGGAAAGTGTTCCTGCCATGGCAGGGGATGGAACAAGATGGTTTTTAGCATCCCTTCCAACCCAAACCATCCTGCTATTTTATGCACAAGTTTGGCTAATTAATGCCCTTTCAATAATGCAGATCTTAGGAATTGGACATTTTATTCCAATCTCCTCCGCAACAAAATTCTATTTTTCTATTTTTTTAATATATCTGTCAGAAATCTATAATATTTTCCCATTCAAATGTTATCAGAACTTGTTCTCCTGATTGCTTTTCCTGCTCAGCCAAAAGAATAAACTCTGTTAATACACCATAAGAACACCTCAACCCCTTAAAGTTAGTAGCTTGGGAGGACCTTTTATAATAAAATTAATTGTATAATAGCTGATTTCCTTTGGGAATCTGCCCAAGCAGTATAAATAAATTCGATTTCTCCATAAAATGTTTTAATTTGGAGCCTGTCAGTTGGCCCGCAGTGGTGCTGGCTGACAGAAGGTGGCGCATCTCTCCAAGGAAACTGCCTTTGCCAAACGGATTTCTGCTGGCTCTGGGAGAGGGGATATTTATCTGAAATGTGTAAACCATCATTTCCCAGCTGTACCCATCACTCCAAACCTGGCTGGGCTGTAATTTGCTGCCTGTCAGAGGAAATTCTCTCATTTGGCCCAAACAGGAACCCCTTGTTACGTGGATTCCGAGGGAATCGTGCGGATGCTGAACCGAGGGATTGGCAACACCTGGGTTCCAGTGTGCAACACCAGAGAGCATTGCAAAGGGAAATATGATCATTACTGGGTCGTTGGCATCCATGAAAATCCCCAGCAGCTCAGGTTAGATAATTCATGCTTTGTTTGTCTTGGTTTTCAATCCTAGAGAATCCTTTTCAATCCCTTTTTACAAGACTGCAAACTTCAGCTGGTGCTGGAACAGGTGCCTGGTAAATATTCACAGCAAATGGTAACTCCCAAATAGAATTCTGCATGGAGGATTCTTTATTAAACTGACTTTGAGTAACTCATTAGAGTTTTATGATTTGTGACTGATTAATTGGCTCAGAGGTGTGTGTGTACTTTATTGACACATTCATAAAACTGCATTTTGCTAGAGAAACTTTTTGAAGTTATGGTGGCTGTTAGACATCTACTTCTGCTTTTGATGGTTTTGGTTGTTTTTTCTTGTTTTCCCAAGTTTTTGGGGTTCTTGGTATCTTTTTTCCCCTCTTTGTTTTCCCCTTTTTTGACTTTGAAAAGAATCCAATCCTATAACTCATCTACATCATCAGACACAGATAAATCAGAGCTGTCTGTTATTACATTAATATTTAAACTTTGGCCTTGAAGTGCCATTTTGGATGTAAAATTGCTCAAATATTCGGCTGAAAGCTAGCCATTTCTTTATAAAATGTTATACTGGTGTGTCTAAATAACTGTTTCTCTCTAGTGTGACATGTGTGCTGGACATTTTGTTGCTAAGCTTTATTTGTAGCAGTTTTTATTCAGTGGTCTGTGTCCTTTTCTTACCAGGACAGAATCCATCAGCTCACATATTTTACTGAAATTTAGACTCTCTTACTTTACTATATACAGACAATTTTAGAGTTTGCTGGGAGATTGCTTTTTATTAAAACTGATGTGGCATTCTTCATAATACACCGCTTTTTTGGAATAAGGGAAATAATTTGATATTAAAATGTCACTTTCCTGCCTGTTTCTCCCTCCAAATCATTATGTTTGCCTCCAGAAAATTCACCAAAAATATGCAGCTCACATCACATTGATAAGATGGTCAACTGTGAGTCTCTCATCCTGAGTTTTTCCTTCTATTCCAAGAAAAATGGTGCTGCTCTCTGAGTTGTTAAGAACATTTTACTCAAAGCCAGCAGCATAATGAAGATAAGGAGGGGGAGGGTTGTTGTAGAAACACCACATGCCTTAATTAAGAGATAGCCAGAACACTGATGCTTCCTGTTCTTTTTTTTTTTTTTTTCAAGTCTCTGGAACAGCAGCTTAGAAACCCAGATGTTTTTGTCAATGCTGCATTGGTGCTGCAGGAAACACAGCTCTTCCCCAGTCAATGGTTTGCTTAAGTGATTGGTACCAGAAATTATTCCTTTAAATATAATAAAGCAATAAGTCTGTCCCTTCAGTTGTTCAGTGGTTTCTGATTTTAATATACTGTATTTGCTCTTTGTAACAGCTGTTAAATCAAACATTCTGTGAAATCAAGATCAGAGTGTGTTATGTGTCACATTTGGAGTTTAAAGTGTGAACAACAGCAGCGTGTGCCTGGCTGGTTTTGAACACTTTTCTTGCTTGCCATGTAAAGATTACCCTTTTTCATGCAATCTTACACATTGCTGTGTTTAAACCAGTCATTTAATTGCTACTTTCCAAAGGACAAATCCTCTTGAAGTTTCTTGCTGCTTGGGAGACCTGGTTTGGATGTGGTTCCTGTGGTGAGCGTGGCTGTGTTTTGTTTGTGTGCCCAGGTGCATCCCCTGTAAAGGAGCTCGCTTCCCTCCCACCCTGCCACGACCTGCTGTAGCAATCCTGCCTTTCAAACTCCCTTATTGTCAAGTGGAAACTGAGAAGGGACAGATGGAGGTATGGAATGGTGGGGACTCCACAGCTGGGAGGCTCAGGTGTCCCTGGAGGGGGGATGATACAAGAGGAACAGTGCAAACCCTGAGTTAAACACGTGGCCAAGGGGTTATTTGGGTTCAGTGTTCTCTGGTTTGGTTCACAACTGTTCCTAGAAGAGCACAAAACAAAACTGGCAGAGCTGATGCAATGTTGTAGTTACACATGATCTGTTTCTGACCACTGAAGTCTTTCTCATCTTGTATTTTAATGGGTTGTGATACCAGATTTGGGGATCCCAGTCAAGGTGCCCTTGATTATGTCTGGATTTTACTGTTTTAATCATAACAAAATTTCTGAAAGATGTACTAAGTATCCAAATTCATAATCACTGAAAACACAGGTCTTCAGGCTTGGCTTATTTAGAGGCTGGTTGGAACAAGATGTGCCCGTGGACAACTTCTAGAAAAAGAACTGGTTTTATTCTTCATTTTTTATTGGTTCTAGTATTTCAGACTTGTGATGCTCAGCTGTAATGCACAAAAGAGAAATGAACATAAAATTCTAACCTCAGCCTTTGAAGAGTTGAATGCTATTTAAGATTTATTTTCTTCGATAGAAGTGTAGATAAAAACTTTAAATAGTAAACACCCTGACATTTTTAATGAATTCTCCTTCATTTGGTTAAGTGTTTTGTTCTTTATCTGATAGTTTGCCTTTCCTCCCTCTACCCAAAATAATGGGATGAGAATGCCAGGAACTGTTGATTTGGCTTGAGGGAATCTGTGTAGGTAAAGAAAAGTTACTCTAATACATCTGATGAAAACATACAGGTTTTGAGTAAGTTTATAATTATTTTGAACAAGGCTAGCCTAGTCTAATAGCCATACTTGCATTATAGTTTCTGTTTATGTGTCTCTCAGGTAAACTGCTAAGTTTGCTGAGTTATTCTGTAACACTTCCAGCTTGCTGTGGGACAGCAGATAAAATAACTTGTTCTAAAATTGTCTATCCTGATAGCATGTTGATGAATATGTAGTTTTCATCCTGCTGCAAGCCTGTAATATAAATAGAATTCAAAATACATGGCAGCTGTTTGGATCAGTTTGTGTAAGTGCGGTTGTTCTCCATCTTTTCCTTGGTAGCATTGACTTGAAGGAGAATTGTCTGCCCCTCACCCTCATTATCAGAGGAAAGGAATGTTTCACAATAAGTGGATAAAATCCATTGGAAATTATTAGGCATTATATTATGGGATGTTTTTCCCCTCTGAATTCCAACACCCATCCTTCTCCCTTTTTTTCAGGAGCAGTACTGGCGTTCTGTTTTGTTTCATGGCTACATGGATTACTTGTCAAAAAATGGATATGAATTTGATGAAAATGCTAAAAATCAGGCAGTGAAAGAACAGCAGGAACTTCTAATGAAGCTGTTTGCTGTAAGTACAAATACATAATAGGAAGAACCCCTAAGATTTGTCCCTGAGACTGGGGGTGCTAAGGGCCAGGATGTCCAGGGCTTGGAACAACCTGGGATAGTGGAAGGTGTCCCTGCTCATGGCAGGGGGTTGGAATGAGATGAGATTTAAGCTCCCTTTCAACCCAAACCATTTTATGATTCTATAATTTATTTGTAGATGGCATTTGATGTAAATGCTGATGTGATTCCTCTGCTTAGGAGTCTGGCTGGTGATTGGCAACCAACTGGCTCAAACTCTGGGCTGCAGTGTGACGGGTGGGGGAAATACAGAAATAACAAAACTTTCCTTTGATCTGTAGCTCATGATTATTAGTGTCTTATCTTTATTCATTCACTCCACCAAGACCATGCTGTGCTACTCCTGGAGTCTTGGGGGAGTGTGGAGGTGAGGGGTGTGACTCTCTTGCAGCTCTCCTGTAAGCTGGAGCGCGAGTCGCGCTGCGTGGAGCTGGCCGGGCTCATGACCCACAGCGTGCTCAATCTGGCCATCAAATACGCCTCCCGCTCCCGCAGGCTCAACCTGGCCCAGCTCCTCAGTGAGGTGGCTGTGGAAAAAGCCTCAGAGCTGGCAGCAGCACAGCAGGAGGAGGAGGAGGAGGAGGAGGAGGAAGAGGATTTCCGAAAGCGCTCGAGCGCTGGGTAAGGCGAATTTCCGTGGCTAAAAACTGGGATGGGTTTTGCTGCTCTGTTAAGGTTTTGATGCATTTCTGTAGCCCACAGTTTGCAGGGTATTTGTGGG